ACCTCAATCAGATATCAAGAGTGAAATTTATAATGAAAATATTGACAACTGCTTGCCTATTGCTAGCCTAATGCTCAAGCGATAGCGTTACGAAGAATTCTTTTTGCTTTAAAACAAGTGATTTTCATCCCTATTTTATCCCAAACATTTTTCCTATAGATACTTAATCCCACAGACGTCCAAAGTATTTCGAATCATATTATTCCATAGAGATAGTTTCTTGAAGACCCAAACCATCATTCCTTGATCTCTATATTTAACCAACATATCATTGTGTTTATAAAATCTTTACAAGCCAAGATACTTTTTTGAACCATAAATTATTCCACTAATTGAGATATATATTGAGCCAAATATTTTCATATCCCGAGACATTAAACCAATGATTAAGACATAAAGATCGTTTGATCAAACATCATCGCAAAGAACATTTATTCCACTGGAGATAAATTGATACAGTGACAAGAGCTGTTGCAGAAGTACAAATTTAGGAGGACTAAGGTGATGTACCAGGAATTGGGTTTTGGTGTCAAGAACACTTAGTTAAGCAGGGCTAAGGTATAAAACAGGAGTCGAAATTTGTTTTGAATGAGCACATCTCCAGTAAGATCAAGAGAGACTGCATGAATTGAGATCAGAAGTTCTGTGGGATAGATAAGCCTGGTCTGTACTGTAAGTTTGCTTCAACTTGTAGTCGATTATTGACTCACAAAATGTCCGAAGTTTTGACCCAGTTAGGGTTTCTCCGTAATCATCTTTGGTGTTCTTTATTGCTTTATTTATTGATTGTGCCATTCAAATCATAGGGTAATTGAACTTCATTAACTAATTACCTAGCAACAATTAAAAGTGACTTATTATTTTTAAATGCTTATTTTCACATGTTGGGTCTAAATAAATAAATAAATCAGCTAATTAGAACTTTCAAGTGGTATTAGAGCTTAATCACGATTCTTGACCCAAAAATTGTCTAGATAGGTCAATCACATTTTGATGTAGGATTAGAAGATGATATGGATATTCATGATGCTTATGACCAGCTGTATAAGGAGAGTCTCAAGTTACGTAAGCTTAATGAGTTAGTTTTTATGAAACTGAATAAACTTGAATTAGAAAAACAAGGGCTTGTAATTAAACTTGAGGAGTCTACCAAAGGATTGAGAAAGAGTCCTTAGAAATTAAGGTTAACATCCTTATAAATGATCTTGAAAAATCAAATGCCCAACTTCAATTATTCTCTAGCAGATCTAAGAAGATTGACAACATGATAGATCTAAACAAAATAGATAAGACTAGAGGAGATTTAGGAGATAATGAATCAAATTCTTATATCGTTTCCTCTATTAAAAAAAGTTTTTGTGTGCCTCATTCAAGCTTAAGGTACAGAACTTGAAACCTAGAGTTGCCCCTAGGTTTATCTCCACATGTCAGCACTGTGGGAAGTTAGGACGCATGTGTCGCGAGCTCTTAACTTTAAACAAGACCAAGAATGTAGGTTCCTAAGGATCGAAACCATATGTACAACATAAGTCTACTCTACCTAAGGTTCAAAATTTGAAACCTAGTTTTGCTCCCTAATATGTTTCCACTTATAATAATTGTCGACTTGTAGTGAATTAGGTCACACTAAACCTAAGTGTTGTAAACTTTTGATTAGAAACAACAAACAAGTGCTAACTACTCATGTTAGATTTTTGATTAATCAAGTGAGTCACTTAACTGAGTTAATGACAATATAATTAAAATTACATCTTCATCTAAGAAGGCATGGGTCAAAAAAAGTGAACTCATAGATCAAATTGATGATTTTAGTTGTGGTATTGCTCGCGTTGCTCTTCATGATAATAGCTTTTCTTTGCCTCATTGATTAGGTATTTAAGTACATGTATCTGCTTTATTCATGATATTTACATATTCATGCATGCACAATTTTTTTGGTTGTTATTTTATTTTTTGTGTGATTATTTACTATTTAAAAATGGAAAAAAAATAAAAAAATAGAATTCTTCATTAGACGCGTTATTTTGTTATCAAGTACTAGTAAGGTTCATGATTGGTAAATTAAATTTCCATTAATTTGTTTAGACCTTGTTTAGAGTACTTAGTAAAGGTTATTATACCTATCTTATACACTACACACATTAGACTCTTGTGAGTATATTTTGACCGCATGTTTGAGATTTGGGATGGCGATCATGGTATGGTGAATTGACTTTGAATATGAAACGACCTTTATCAGATTGACCTAAAGCTCTAATATATTCCCCTTAAAAAATGAAAAGATGACTGAGATTCAAAAATTTTGAAATATATGAAAAGTGAGATTCATCTTATATTCTTCTTCGAAGCCTATTTAACTCGAGCAATTAAGTTTGGGGAGTTTCTCATAACCTGATGCCCTATGGTTAACTGACTTGGAGTAATCGACCCAAAACTCGTTACAGGGATCATCTTAGTCGCTTAATGTAGAAGATATGAACATAAAATATAAAAGAAAAATGAGAGGAAACAAATATATGTTTGCTTATTGATAGGAGGAGGAAGAAAAGTTATACATTGAAAAAAATCAATATGAGTTTTTATTTAAAAGGTCCTAGTACCATTGGGTTTGATTGCAAACTTTGAGAAAATATTCTTTCACCAGTGATTTTCACATGTCCTTTCTCATTAATTTAAAATTTTGAGATTTGCTTACAAGTGTTCAATGGCACTTTTCACACATATATGGCTTATACAATTCACTCCCTTTATTTTTAAGATAAGTTAGGTGGAAAAAGGTTTTTTTTTTTTAAATAAAGTATGCATGTATAAGTAAGCAAATAACTGTTCAAGATGATAAAATTAAAATTCCATTAGTTTTTAAAAAAAAAAAACAGCCGGTCTCAAAATTAATATATTTTTTATTCTCCTATCATAAGTTCTTGTATAATTTTTGCATCACTATACATGTGCAATTTTTTTAACTCATTCATCTCTATATTTTACAAGATTATTTCTTGCCTTTCCTTTGGTATTCGTGACAAAAGTGGGAGGAGAGATGTATTTATTTCAGGGAGTTGATTATATGAGTTAGGAAAAATTTTAATAAATTTGAATTTTTTGATTGATAGATGACTTTAGGGGAGTCATAAGAAAAGCTAGCCTATATAAATAGAACGGAGGGAGTATAACTTAGTTTTATGATCTTGATTGTTAGTTTTCTCTTGCCTTTTCACGTGGTATTTTGATTTCCATGTGTTTTAGGAAACATGTTGACAAATTGCTGAAATGTAGTTTGGAAAGTGTCTATTAGATAGATTGTAGTGAACTTTTGACTTTGAAATAAATGATTTTGTCACGAAATGTCAAAGGAAGAGATTGTTTTGTCCAAATTATAATTAGCAATTTTCAACTTAGTAATTGTCAATTTTCTAAGTCAAAATTAAGTCCTAATTGAATTGTATTAGGAGTTTATTAAGTTATAATCAAAGTCAAAATAGTTAAGGATTGGTAGTATAGGTTTTGAATGAGTCAAAGATGTCCAAGAAGATCACATATGGTAAAAAAAATGCAATTAAAAGTCTAAATTGTGTCAAAAAAATCACAGAGATTATGCTCCAAATTCTTAGTCGTAACTTGCAAGGTATTTTTCACATTGAAAACATTTGAATTTGGACTAGAAGAATTGTAACCTTTTGAATCAACTTTCTAGCACATTCTGAATCACCTCAATCAGACATCAAGAAAGAAAGTTATGATAAAAATATTGACATCTGCTCAATTGTCACTCGCCTGTCATCAGCCCAACACTCAAGCAACAGTTTTATGAGGCAGAATTCTATTTGCTTTAAAACATGTGATTCTCTATTTCATCCTAAATATTTTCCCTATAAATACTTAACCCTATGGATGTCCAAAGTGTATTGAATCATGTTATTCCATAGAGATAGTTCCTTGAAGATCCAAACCATCATTCGTTGATCTCGAGATTCAACCACCATATAATTATGTTCATAAAATCTTTCTAAGTCAAGACACTTCTTTGAATCATAAGTTATTCTATTAATTGAGATATATATTGAGCCAAATATTTTCACATCCTTAGACATTAAACCACTAATCAACACATAAAGATCGTTTGATCAAACACCAACCCAAATAACGAGGAATTCTTCATTTAATCCACTGGAGATAAATTGATAGAGTGATGGAGAGCTGTTGTAGAAGTACAAATTCAAGAGGACTAAGGTAAGGTACTAGAAGTTGGGATCTAGCATCAGGAACATGCAATGCAAGAAAGCTAAGGTATAAACGAAATTTGTTTTGAAGGAACACATCTCCAGTGGGATCAAGATAGACTGCGAGAATTGAAGTCTGAAGTTCAATGGGATAGGCGGGTCAGGTCCATTCTATAAGTTTGCTTTAATTTATAGTGGATTATTGACCGGTAAAGTACCCGAAATTTTTACTTAGTTGGGATTTCTTCAAATCATCTTTGGTGTTCTTTACTGTTTTTATTTATTAATTGTGGCATTCAAACCATAAGGTAATTGAACTTGATTGACTAATTACCTAAAAACAATAAAAGTGACTTGTTACTTTTTAATAGCTTATTTCCGCATGTTGAGTCTAAATAAATAAATAAATCGACTAATTAGAACTTTCAATTTGTTGCACTTCATTTCATATGATTTATAAATATTTAAAAACACAATCAATAATTACTTAAATCCTGACCAATTATTGGGTAATTTTGACCAATTATTTGATAATTGTGACTAATAAATAATAAGTTATCTAAAAATATGTAATTGTGATCTACGACTTGTTTTTCTTTGTAATTGATAAATAAGCTGTAATCAATTAATTTGATAATTTGATCAAATAATACCTTCTCTATCTTAAAGGAGAGAATCCCAAATCACTATTCACTTGTGGACTGGTTTCTCCTCACATTTTACTGTTCCGTGTGTGGACAAAAAAAATGACAATTTTGATATTTCCCACATAATGCAATTGTTGACCTGAGGGGCTAGATATCTTTACTGTTTATCAGGGCCAAAATGATTTCTCTTAACATTTGAGATTTTTCATTCCTCGTGCTTCTTCCAACACAAACCCTTGCATGTATTCTCCTATGATGTTTTTCAAATCTTCAATCTTCCAAAGCTATCTGCAGGCTATCATCTCCAAATGAATATCCCCTCTTCGAGATAAGCCGAACACAGTCACTTAGAAGGCCTCAATTATTCTATGGTTGGGCCCGTGTAGGAACAGGCGCTCCTTCTCCTCGCTTCACGAACTACCAAGGGGATTTGGCTCTAAAGCTTGAAGCATGTCAAGGAATACTATTATATGTACAGCCTTCTCACACCGCGGAGCTCTTTTCTTACTTGGTTGAGCTTCAGACTTCCCCAGAAACACTCCTGTGTAAATACCTCATCGAGTAAGTTATTGTTACTCGAAATAGAAAATATTCTCTGATATTGGTAGTTCTGTAAATTCTTTATTTTTCGTCTTTATTTTATCTTTTGCAATTTTTTTGGTTAATAATGTATTAAACACGATTTTATCTCTTAATTTACTTAGGCAAATTAAGAAATTACTTAAATTAGGTTAGGTTACTTTTCAAATTTTTTTGATGAATAAAAGAGTTGTCTTTTTTAGACAAACTCTACAGCTGAACTTTATGTGAAATTAAAGGAACGTCTTCTGCTTTTTGTGAACATGATCTTGTAGTTGTTGAATGAACAAAAAAGATTGAACCTTGACAACTAATTTTCTACTAAATGCAACTTGTTGGTAATAACACGAGGGAATATGAATAGTCGGTGATAACGTTATGCCATTAAAAATTAAAGTTCTTTTTAAAGTAGAAATTACTTTGTCTTGAAAAAGAAAATTAATTAGAAAAATATTGGATTCTCTGAATGCATGTTTGATTGAGCTTTTACTATTTTTAAGGTTTTAGTGAAAGAGAATATGACTCAAACTATACGTATTAAAAAACCAAACTATATGTGAGTTCAGAGATACTATTTTTAGGTTTTAGTGAAAGGGAATATGACTCAAACTATATGTGCAAATGCAAATTACGTAGTGAAGCACGAGCACTGTTTGATTGTATTCCCTAACTCAAAATGTGGACGTCTACAATGGATTATGATAAAGTTATTTTCCATTAACAAAGATGTTGGTATTGTAAACTTCAGGCTTTCAATTTTTTTTTTCACTATTTGCTCAGCCAATTGAAGTTAAAACTAAATGATAGTACATTGTGAATTAAACTAAATTGTTTTTTTGTGGAGTTTTTTTTTTGCTGGAAACTAACACTTTATAATCTCTTTAATTCTACTAATAATTGGATTGTTTAATGATTTCCAATTGAGTTACTTTCTAAATGTTGCATACTAAGTTCTACGATTGGTAAAATATCAATTTTCTGATCTTTGTTATCTTCAGTGATGTTTCGCCTTCTTAAGGAAATTGCCAAATATCTGTATAGTTTTGTTTAACTTGGTCTTAACATTGTATGATTTTCTTGTCCTCTCTTCAGAGATTTGGATGCCTCCTCTGCCTATGATAAAGTCAGATAGATTGGTGACCCTAAAAATCATGCTGGTTACCCAATTTACCATCATCTTCAATTGGCATATGTTAGTTTTCTTAAAAAATGAATGCTCTTTGTAGACAAGACATTATGTGACCACATAAATATTGTTGGAAATTATTTCTTTTCTTTGCACAAGACACATTATTTGCACCTTGTAAAGATTTTATTTTCAGATTGTAGGGTGGCTATGGTATTTGGGACAAATCAATCCGTAATCGGATTACATTAGCCCCTGCCACAGTGAATTATTATGTAAATTTCAACCTATCATGTCCTTCTTCATCATATCAAAGAATGTTTGGAGATCTCAGCAAGGAATTTTTTTTTCCTTCAGTTCGTATATCTTTGAATTCTTTTACCTTTTAACATATTGATCATTTTCTATTCCTGTTGTAGGTAGAATTGGGGTATGCAGCATACTATAAATCTTGATTATTATTTGATTTATTGACTATCAAATTTTACTTTTGGACTGCTTTTTTAATAGTGATGCGTGATCAACACGTGTTTTTTCTGTTAAAGATACGGTGGTTGTCACAAGTTGATTTTATATTGTTCATTTTGGATGCATTTGACATTCTAGAATTTGATTACTTGGAAATGAAGATTTGTATAACTGGGTTGATTTTGGGGTGGTGACACATGATAGAGAAGCAGATGGACCCAGGTAAAATTTAGCTCTTATTGAAAACAATCAAAATTCCTTTCCATTGAAATTCATATTTGAGGATAAGGAACTTCCCATCTCCACTAGAGAAATCAGAATGAGAGATAGAACTTGAATCTCTTTTTTGTGATTGAATATGGGTCTTAGGGAAAGTGATCCTGGCTGCATGAATCCTTCTACAGTAATTTCAAATTCTTTCTTGATTTGATTTCAGGTATATCATTAGTTTCAGTTTAAATTGTAATGATATTGTATTACTAAATGTTTTATTTTGTATGTTTCTTTTTAAATTTATTCTGCAATAGTGATAAGAATTGTTATCACTTTAGTTTATGCATTCCTATATACAATTTGGACTATCACTTTGGTAGGTTCTAAATGTAATCTATTATTTGGTTCATTCTGCATAAACTTGAAGAGATATAGTCATAAATTATCTTTGAAAATTATTTACCTTTAGATGTTAATATTTATTTTACTTGATAAAAATTAAAAACACGTCTTAGTAGATTCGCTCTCTATGAAGTGCTGCATTTCTAAGTAATTTTCTTCCTCCTTGATTGTCTTCCCAGCCTAATCAACATGCAATTAGGATTTTTCTTAAAGAAGTGTTTTTCCTTCTACATACCTTGTAGGAATGTTCGATTTTCTGACACTAGGCTAGAATCCATTTCATTGTTTGGAAAACTTTTGTATATGAAGATTTGATAGTGTGTGTTTGCGATTTTGGGTTAAATTGATATATGTAGTGCCGTTTCATTTCAATGATGCTTGCAAGTGTTTTTGGTTTATTATTTTTATTTTGGTGTAGAAAATGGACAAGGGACCGTGCTCGAAGATACATTCATTGCAACTGAGAAAAGAGTTTCTCTATGTAACGTTGATATACAACTTATGTCAATTTTTTGTATGTTTACCTATTAATGTTTTGCAATAGTGAAATTGTAATACAATTTTGTGAAGCTATTATTTGTTAACACTTAACATAAAATAATTTTTTAAGTATATTAATATGGGTCAGACAAGTATTAAGTTTCAAGAATATTAGTGGTTGATCCTTTGGAAAGTTATTCTATAAAAGAATATTTCAAATTAAGTTTTGGTACAAGTGACAAAATGGAATTTGAAGAACTGCTCTCTATTCCTAGAAAAGTGGCCCATCATTCAAGGAATAACTTGTTATTGATGAAAGGGAAAACTAGGATAATATCGTTCTTTCCTGTATGATTGTTGAAATATTTTTGTGCATATATCTCATTTTGGGAACAAAAAATCTATGCTTTAAAACTTTCACTAGACCCCGTTGATTACCTGTAGTTACTTATGCAAATATTTGTTAACACTATTGTAATGCAAACATTCATACCTTTGTAACTTGATATTCAAGTAGGTAGTGTGATTCTCTTTCAACCTAACCTTTGAACAAGTGCAATTTTTTATGTTGGGATCCCATTCATCAACTTGATTGAGAAGGAAAAAGAAGATTTCAGGTAGGTGTTTTGAATATTTGTGAACTTCTTTTCTTACAATTGATTTGAATGTTTGTTTGGCATTTTTAATTTCTTTTTTAGTTTCTTAGATTGTTTAGCTATTTCAATCCTACCGGGTCTAGGTCATTCATTGGGTTTCTTCCAATTGGGTTTGACATTCTTGAATGTGTTCGACTTATAAATTTACA